CCCTATATATACTCATTTACATAATTACAATTCCCTAGGGTATTAATTATAATATTCAAATGACTTTGAATAGCATATATATTTGATGTGTTATAAATATTTATTGGTATACAATATTGTCCCATATGGCACCCCATACAAGAAGTCAGATAAGTGAATTTCTACGATACTCAAAGCCATAACAAATAAATTCGTAATATCATTCAAAAACTGTTATGGTTGTCCTGGCGCCCTTGGTGTGACAGAAATCCTTGACCTTTCGCATTGATTACAGAATATTTATTTAGGCTAACATAAGTACTTCGTTCACTGCAATTATGAAAGATTAAAATTCAGTTTTCGATTTTTAAGGAAATTTGATTGACCCTACTTTTTACAACTGAAAAATATGCCTCTAAATAACGGCTTTTTAAACTATGTGCGATATGACTAAACGTAACAAGCTTCGAGATTTACAAAGTCGAAATAACGCTTATTTTAATGATGTGAAAAATTGTTTGCGTATTTGCTTTGTTTCTACGAAAATTGGAGTCAAAGTTTGGTAAAATTCAGTTGTTTACAACAGTGAAATCTACAACATGCGGCACAGGAAGCCCATGAGTGGGCTACTGTCCTGGGGAGGCGGATTTGTAGTACGTATTCCATATATGGCACAAACTAACAAGCGAACAGRAGCACCTAACAAGCGAATAGAAGCACCTAACAAGCGAACAGGGGTCCATMCTTTTTTTCAYTTGTATATTTTTCTACAGTTTTTTATCGACTTATTCGAGCTTTTTAAAAATTTTCTTATCAAATTTTAACTTAGAATTATGAATTTAACATTTCATAGCCTGACCCGTCCTTTTCCCTAAACCTAACCCTTCGACTACAAATGTAAAACGCCTTAACTAACTTGACCACGAGAGATTACGCTGGCAAACAACGAATTGTTTGTGACATTTAAAGTATTTTGCATTGCTAATAGCACCGGTAAATTGGGATTCCTTAGGGGCCGCTATTCGCTTGTTAGGTGCTTTTATTCGCTAGTTAGAGGCCTCTATACGCTTGTTAGTTAATACCATATATGGAATACGTACGACAACCCTACCTCGTCTTGGGTTGCTAAACGGATTCCTTCGCTATTCATTCTAATTGAATCGTTGTACATTAGTAGATTTTTTACAAATAACTTTTTTCTTTCTAAATGTTCGTTATTTACATGATCAATAAGAGGATGATGGAATATCTTTCAATCGAAGAGTTCTGACTACACTATGAATTGTTAGACTTTACTCTATTGCTTTTGTTTTCTCCAATTGTGTTTGCCACAACAATGAACAAGAAAGAAAGACCAGAAGATTAATCATTGCTAATGACATAAAGATGAACCAGTTGATAAGGTAGTGTTTATAATGCCAAAATCAAAATCATCACTTTACTAGAAAATTTTCATATTTGGCATGAACACCTCTAATGCCGTCATTTTATTGTCTGAAGCTTTTGTAGCTTTGCCATTTCATCTCAAATAATCTAAACAATAACAATCCTTTATTAGGAAAAACTATAACATAAAGTGGTTTTCATAGAGGTTTCCTAATAAATTTAGACATGACATTAAGATAAAAAATACATAATAATTATATCTTTGTAAAACTATGGCCATCAATAATAAAAGTAATAATAAAAGAAGCCATATCTTGGATATGTTCATGTATGTATGTTTGTAAATGTTTTCATTT